GCTCTGAATGGGTCACCCTGATCTATTCGATGAGTGAGCCGGCAGCAATGGTCCACTTATCATTCACAGTGTCATATCAAATGAATCATGCAGAGTAATATTCCCGTCCAGTGTTTGTCCCATGCATTGCAGATAGATGGGTTAAGATAAAATGAAATAGTTCTAGCTCCCCAATGCATGCGATTGAGACAGTCTCGGCCAATTCATCTGCGCAGGACGGCTACTTGGGTGCAGTGGTTTGGTCTGGTCTGTCCAGCCAGGTCATTGACCTTTAGGCATCGGGGCGATTCCTTTCCCTCCAATGCTGTGCTGATAATTAAAGTAGCACTAGCACTTCATGCTAGGATATATTGATCCGTGACGACTGACGAGCGACCAGACGTCAGACGTCGCGCCCGTATTGACACGCGCAGTCGGTTTGAGGTAATGCGGTACAGCCTACTGTTTAGGCGCTCACCACTAGTGACATCTATGGAGGAGATCATAAGCTAAGCGCAGGCGCCTGAGCCGTGTTGTTTCGGTCTAATTGATGTCTGTCGCATAGTAGCGAACGCCAGGAGGTTGCACGGTGGAACCAGCTGATTATTGGAAACAGGTGACTATCAATACCTAGGTGGCATGGCTGTTTATATTCACTTGCCTGACGGATCACGGACAAGCTTAATCCTATCTTCGTGGGAGGTAAAACCCAACAATGATCTTCACAGAGGTGACATGTCAGTAACTCAATGTAAGAATACATAGCCCCAATGCATGTTATTTTTATTTTTAGTTTGGAGACCGAATACAGTGATTCAATTTTATAGTAGGTATGATTAACAGGCTATGGAGGTCCATGGGAATAACGATCAATTGTGCATAAAATACAATGGGTTTTCTTTCCAAGCGATTCACTACCTACTATCCTAATAACAAATAGGTATGCGTAATATCGAAGCAAAAATGATGGAGGTTTAGGTACATTTAAAACCCGCGACGGGGGGGAGGCGTTTCGGCCCCCCCCCCCCCCCCTAAGATCTCGGAAATTTACCGGCCGATTTTCAAAATTCAAACGGCGTTCGATAGCCCCACCCGGGAACTACCTTGTGACCAAATTTCATTGACCTAGGTCAAACCGATGACGTCATAGGTCAGGTCAAAGGTCAGATTTTCATCGTTCACAGGCATTTCAAGAAATGTGTTGTGAAATCGAGTAAATTGGTAATTTATTGAAAACCATCGATGGTACATTGTTCGTCAAACACATACTTTGCTATCTGAGGTCACTGATACCAGGTTAGGTTACAGCGAGGTCAGGTCACCGGGGGTCACAATATGAAAGTGTCATGTGATACATGTTTTATGGTCCATTTTACATGACAAATGCGCGATTATGTGGGTTAGGCAGCCTTTGGGGCCAGCCTAGGTCACGTTTTGGTGCAGGTCAGGTCAAGGTCAGGTCAAATTAGGTCAAATTTCAAAGTTGATATTTTGCATAAAATGGGTATCGATTCGATGCAGCTCGTCACGGGGAGTCTAATGGTGGTCTTTGTTTTGCTCTACGAGGTCTAGAATCGCCAAAATTGAGTTTGAAAATTTGACGTCATCATTTTTGAACAGTTTTTTTTTTCGCTATAACTTGGCCAAAAAACGAGGTATCGATCTGAAATTTGGTATGTAGATAGAAGACAGGTCAAGGTCAGGTCAAATTAGGTCAAATTTCAGTGGCGGCGGAAGCGGGGGGGCAGCGGGGGCACGGCGCCCCCCATCTTCCAGGGTGGGGGCAAACATATCTTTTTGCCCCCCCAAAATTGCTTAACCTAACCTAACCTAACCTAACCTAACCTAACCTAACCTAACCTAATCTAACCTAACCTAACCTAACCTAACGACGAAGTACCACAATACTTCCATACTACGTCAGGAACATATGCCAGTTTGGCTGAGTACCTTTTTATTAAGTTGATATAGCGAGTAATTTGGATTGATAATAGCCGTTTTCACGACGGGCTATCCGGCGAGCTAGTCCGTGACGGACTATTTCCACCAAACGCCCTCCACACATAATGCTCAGAAATCAAGCAGAGCTATCTACGAGCTACCGGTAACCGAAGTCTGGAAGAGTAGGACGGAACGCGAGTGGCCCGGCACGGACGTCACGAAAGCGCGTCTGAGCGTGCCACATGCCTTTCCCCGCGACTCTGCCAGACGCCAGCCGGCATAGGCGCGTGAGCCGGGGGGCAGCATGGGGGCAGCCTGCCCCCACAACTCTGGGGCCGTGGGGGTCGCTGCCCCCACAAAGTTTCAAAGGGCCAGGAACCGTCGGGGCAGCTTGTCCTCCCCATATTAGCGGCCGTGGGCCTCAAAGAAAAGCTGAATGGAAGACAATACCTATTTAAGTAAAAAAATCCCCCTCTGTACGGGGAACCGCAGTTGCTATTGTACACGAACCCCAACTCTAGCCGTCTGTCCTGTCCAGTAACAACCGATAACATTGATATCGACTGCCGGTCCCTGCACAAGAGCAGCTGAGGTTTTCTGTGCGTGCCCTCTGACGGCTTATCGTTGTTCCCTGTGAGGGTGCTGGGACAATTTACTCAGGGTCGCTGTACAGTAGCAACTGCGGGTCCCCGTACCTGACTTGACAGCTCATGTGTGGAAGCTTTAAACGTTTATTCCAGGTTACCAAAAAGGTAGTTTCTTGACTCAGATGAGACTAAATATCTCACTTATTTGCAAATGTTTTATTTTTTTTTAATTTTTGTTGTAAAGGCCAAGGGGTGAAAAATAAGTGGCCTAAAACCGGTGAGAAAACTAGATCTGGGGGTACCCTAGGTTCCGGGAAGGATCAGGTGTGCCCCCCCCCATCCCAAAATACCTTCCGCCGCCACTGTCAAATTTCAAAGTTGATATTTTGCATAAAATGGGTATCGATTCGATGCAGCTCGTCACGGGGAGTCCAATGGTGGTCTTTGTTTTGCTCTACGAGGTCTAGAATTGCCAAAAATTGAGTTTGAAAATTTGACGTCATCATTTTTGAACAGTTTTTTCGCTATAACTTGGCCAAAAAACAAGGTATCGATCTGAAATTTGGTATGTAGATAGAAGACGGTAGGTACTATCACATATATTCCGGTTCTTTCCGAAACTCAAAAAACTTTTTGGATTTTTTGGCTAATATATCCAAAAAAATGCTTTTTTTGATTTTTGGGGGTCAAACTCAAAAATTTCAAAAATCCGAGATAGCAGTTTTGTAGCCCTGTCGATTCTACACCTTTAATGCCTGATCATTTTTCTGTATCTTTAAAGCTGTAGGCCTGACAGGTCTTCTCGCGAAGGTCTTTTTCGGTCGAAAATGACAGAACATGACGTCATTCTGACGTCATTTGTCGCCAACCTATCATAGCCTCTGGAAAAAAAATCGTCACAATGTGTAAAATTGATGCCCGGAGGGGTCCTGAAAGTTTGGTGGCGATATCTCCAGCCGTTAAGGAGATATCGACCGAAAAGGACAGGGGGGCCGTTTCGGCCCCCCCCCCTACGGGGCGCGGGTTAACAAACGATGTCCTTTACAGCTTTTATCACGCACAGCCACCGACAATCACGCTGGTGTTACCTTACGACTATCAAAACGAGGATTTATAGTAGATCAAACCAAATGATTGATACGTATGAGTATGCTTATGTTTATGCCCATGCGTCTTATGGCTATGAAGCGCAAACATGCCTGGCTGCATAGTTTTTGATGAGTCTCTAGCTCATTAATTCTGCCGTAATTTCGATGCAACCTGCTTTTGTATCGTTGAATAAGATCTTTTTCTTTGTTGCAAAGTGTCACGGGCATGTTCTGTGATATTTCAAGTAGCACTAGAGCCTCGCTAAAAAAAAACTTTATAGCGTAAACGCGGCTTGAATCGCGAATATTAGTAAGTGCAACGAACGAAAAGAAGTTGGGTACCTACGACAGAACACATGCATAATAGCTGCTTTCACTTCTGAGCTGATCGAATGTATGTGCAGGGACCAGATAAGCAATACACGCATATTTCAACACCACCGATACCTATTCTGGTGAGCGTTCACTGCTATAGTTATTAGTTACATCGATATTTTTAACCGTAATCGTATTCTGTGACCTTTGAATGACCCAGGGCGGACTCTGCTAACATAAGTTCAAGAGACCAGCGCTCCTTACAGCTGTTGAATAAACGAAGTCTGATCAATCGGCATGCCCGTCTCATCACGTCAAACGATTTAGAATGAATCTTGCCACCGCTGGGCATGACCTTTGCCCCCGGTCAACTTTTGACTTTAACCCTTTTGGGTCAATAGGTATAGATAACTGATTAATGTTCATCAGTCGATAAAAAAGGTTAATGAATTGTTGGCCTTAACGGTTTTGTCGCGAATAGCTACATAAAGCATCTACAAAGGCATTTCAATTCAGTTATATTACGTTAGTGAGCTTCAATTACGTAGCAAATACCCAAGCACAGAGTGACAGGCTACATATACCTATTTTGAAGCGCCATCAGATGTGAGGCTCTTTTATCGATAGGTGGCACCTATTGATAGGTGCTTCGACAGCATCTAAATCGGCGTCCGTAACTCATATCAGCCTTCATCTGGACGACAGTGAACTGAAGACGCCAACAATACCAAGAGACGGGAACAAAGATGCGAGACGTCTGTGGCGTATTTGACACAAGTTAGTGTCACCCAAAAGTGATTGTACCACCGTAAAGAGCCATTACGCATCACCCTGTAACTGGGCCTGATCCACACGATCGCCAAATCATGCAACACACCGACTGACAGCAGCGTCTCTTCCTAACTTCCAACTGGTGCAATTCCTAAGGCACGGACTAGCCAGTCAATGACCAACGTCCGACTGAATCTAGGGGGACGACAGACTGAATCTAGGGGGACGGGCAGCACGATCCACTAACGACCAACCCGTTCACAGCGGATTATACCAGAGGGATTTGCAGCGGCGGTGTCCAAAGCACATCAAACGCGGCTTAGTCGAACTGTGTATTAGCGTCGAGCAAATGGCAGGTCTGCACTAAATGTCACAGAAGAATAGACGTGACCCGTAGAGCTAGCAGTTCAATACTGCACGCCACGCAAAGCTTCTCGACACGCTCACTGACACCGGCTTGCATGACAGACATAAGTACAGATAGAGGAGGCAGCCGAGATTATACTTTCAAATGATGCACTGATAAGTGAACGGCCAAACGGTCGCAGAATATGTTACGAGATCCTGAGCAGTTAGCAATCATTACCGCGCCGGCGACACACATTCGAAGACGTCGTTTTCCGTTTCCACAAACGCTATGCGAACGTCGCATGTTGAGACGTCTGGGTCTGAACAGTGCTTTAACTTTATGACAATTGACAGAGTCATTGGTTCATTCTCTCTCGATTGGGCTCGCTGTGCAATACGCGAATTAATATCGGCGCTACCTACATGTGAGATCTACTCTCCTAGACCGAGGATGAAGCATGAACTGACAAGGACCTACATGTTCATATCATCAAATGACACGGCCTACGTGTTCATATCATCATGGCATAACACTCAATCCATTCCATCACAACGTCTGGAGTCAGCTGCCCAGTCAGTCCTTCCAGCACTGAATCCATCACAGCCTTCTGCCTAAAATGGCAGTCCGGCTGCTGGCACTCGTCCGTGTATCACAGCGCCACCACAGTAGTTCCCCGAGTCACCGCTAGGGCGGCGGAGTGACGCTCTCCGCCTCTCGGATAGCGGCCGACTCTCGGCGCAGCTCCTTGATCACGTTTGCCAGGGACTCGGGGTTGACGCCGTTCTCACAGAGACGGACACACCTCGAGAGGGTCTCGCCGTCCAGGCCTGAAAACGGGCAAAAAACGGCTTCAGAACAACCGCAGAACGTGGGCATTGAGGCAGAGAGGGGCAGCAACAAAATGGTTTGGGTTGTTCTGTATAATTGGTTTTGACTCAGTAGAACAATTTGTTACGTGACAGACAATTTGTATAAAGCTTCAACAGTGCCGTTACGTTGTAGTTATCATTGTTATTGAACCTGAGCAAATTGATTCATACATGTTATTACATCTATGCGATATCGACCACATTTGACTCACCTGTGTTGAGGATATTCGATATTTCAGTGAGAATGTCGAAGGTTTCCTTTTTGGCGCGGGCCTGGTCCTCCATCGTTCCGGTGTGAATCAGAGACCTGAAACGCAGCTCGACGCAGCATCTGAGTTAAGCCCACGACCACAGGCAACGTCACGAGGTCAGCATGGCTTCATGTATATGATTGATCAAGTCAAACTAGCCTCATTTTACCAAATGAATTTGACAAAAATCATGTAAATGTATGACATATGCCCATTACTTATCAAATCACGTTCACTTTAAAAACAGCCCTTTCAGTGACCTGTTAGAGAGCCAGCAGCAAAAGCACCTTTTCAAAATGGATGCCACAACAGTAGTAAGTAGTCAGGACATTTTTGTCTACAAACCTCTAAGTCTACACTGCTCTAAAGCACACACAATAACTAGACAAGGAAAAATATTGCTGTAAAAAGCAGTTCTGAACACAATACAGCATTTAACAAAAACGAACATGCCATTCCCACTTGTCAAGCAAATTAAAATAGGCAAAATGAAGATGATGGACACTGATTTTCAAACATTCAAGAGGTATCCAAAAGCTTTTTCCAGCATGGTGAGGAATTGGATATATAGCCTTGGCTACTGGCCAACATCAGAGAAGTCAGAACTCAGAAGTGAGATAATCAAAGGTAACAGAGATCTACAAGAAATGTGATATTGTTTACATAAGAAAAGTCCAAACAAATTTATATAAATTTGGGTTGATTGGTTAGGAAGCTTTGATATTTTCAGGTAGCATCCAATTTTTAAAGCCACTGAACAAAGCTGTAGCCTGTAGCACTGGATAACAAATCCAGAGCCTGAGTGGGCCCCTACCTCTAGCATCAGATCAGGCAATTCTGGGTGGTAGGAAAATTTAACTCCAAAGTAAAGCCTACATATCATAGCTGGACACAGCCTGTGGGGAGCCTCATATATCAATATCAAGAGCTGTAGCAACTAACCCCGGGCTCTCAGCAGATTTACAATACTCTATCGCGCTGCAAGAGTGGAGTACATCTACATGTGTGCAGCAACTGCAATAAGCAGTTACCCATTCTTCTCAAGTTAAGCCATCAGCCTAGAATCTAGCAGATAGTAAAAATGTAACTGTTTGTTCATACTGAACAGTTGTGTATAACAGAAGCTGTGTGAAAGGGTGCACAGAAGTGAGGAAGTGACAAGTAACAGCTAGTAAGGTCATGCAGGGAAATGTGCAACAGTTTGACACCAACTACAATACCATTGTACCTATACCTTATGTCAGATAAGAAATGCTTAGCTCTGATACTTTGATAGATACAGCCAAAAGGCAAAAAATGCAGCAAGAAGAGCAGCCACAATCTGCACTGGGGTGTAGCCCATTTTCGGTGAATCTGAAATATGGCAATCAGATCACTTAATGTCTTGAAAGTAAGTCATTAAAAACTCACAGTTCAATGAATACCTGGCCGCATCACTACTGCAAAAGAGTAAATAAGGACTGCATTTGTAAGATTTCAATGTTTTTTAATATAGAGGCTGATTTAAACACATGAAAAACAAGGCTTCATGGACAGGGTCCATTTTGTTTGACAGCTTATCAGTTTAGCCCTCATATTTCAATAGGTTCTGAATAGACAGGGAATATGCAGTAACTGATGATTCACGTTTGTCGTTTTGTGCTTTGGGGGTGGAATGAGAAATTTCCAGACTAATGTTATGGCCTAGGTACACTAGTGCATCCAGAAAGTGAAATGCATCTTCTGAGTTAAGACGCTGCACGGGAAAAGGCAGACACCTAAGGCCCTAAGGATACCAACAACTTCCAAAAGCTAAAAACTTACCACGTTATCTAGGTGGTACCTACCCTATTTTTTAAAACTTAAGATTTTGCTTTTTATGCACTGCTGAGCAGTTAAAACCCAAACTATCTAACAAATGTTAAAAAGTGTTTTAAGCAAGGAGGAAATTGTCATTTTGGAGGCTGTGGGAACTGGGAAGGCAAGCGGCAAGCATCTTGGTCTCTAATGCACTTTTTATCCGCTGGGCAGCCGGGCCGCCGGCGTGGGCTTACATTGTAATGTGTCTAGCCTACTTAATTTGAAAAGACATGATGCTTTGCCAATAAAAAAATCATTTTAAGTAAAAATATAGGACAAATATGCATTTTTAAGTGACTTTAACCATCTTGGGAGACTGAGACGAGAACCAAAACGAGACAGAGATCAAGATGGACAGCCATCAGAGATCTTGATCTTGAACTGATGGTCAATGGATGAATCTTTATCTGTTCCTCTTACCTTGACCACTCAACAGACAGTAAATTTGCAAGTTTCAGCAACCACCTAGTAGGTACCTAAGAGACCCAATATTCAATAATTTAATTTGCGATATAAATATGCGGCTGTGCTTCCGAACGAATGTTTGCGTCGTAATCGTATCAAATGCGCAGCTGCGCTTCCTCAATTTCATGTGCTGCCATCTACCGTCCGCTGAGGGACAGCACTATTTGATCACCACCCTTGCAAGTTGCAGCCATTCAGGCATTCAGGAACCACTGGACCGATCGGAACGAACGAAAGACCATTCGAATCAGCGGGTACGAATTTATCATTGCTTTCGAAGATGATGACCTCAGGTGACCTTGGCAACCTTGGGAGGTGACGAGGTCACATGACTGTTGTCGCCTATGGCAGCCATTGTATAACTCAGCCTCAGGGGTGTAGGATCGCAAAATAGGTTGGGGGGGGCTGAACCCCGACTATAACTCAGGAACTACTGGGCTGATCGCGACGAAAACACCACCAGTCGATTCAGCGTATGCGATTTCATCAGACGTTTCGAATGTGGTGACCTCAGGTGACCTCGGTGACCTTGGGAGGTCACACTCACATGACCGTTGTGGCCTATGGCAGCCATTCTATAACTCAGGAACTACTGCGCCGATCGAGACGTAAATACCACCAGTCGATTCAGCGTATACAATTTCGGTGGCAATTCGAATATGGTGACCTCAGGTAATCTCGGTGAGCTTGGGAGGTCACATGACCGTTGTCGCCTATGGCAGCCATTCTATAACTCATCAATTACTGGGCCGATCGAGACGAAAACACCACCAGTCGATTCAGCGTATGCGATTTCGTCCACCGTTTCGAATATGGTGACCTCAGTCCTCAAGTGACCTCGGTGGCCTTGGGAGGTCACATAGTCAATTCGAATATGGAGACCTCGTGTGACCTCGGTGACCTAGGGAGGTCACATAACCATATTCGAAACTGAGCCCGGCCATGAACCATACTTCTTGCTTACCGAACGATTGCAAAATACGCAATTACCTACGCGTGTTGGCTGTCCTCTAACTCGCTTCGCGAAGCGAGTTAGAAGACAGCCACAGGCGCGTAACCACCACTGGGGACACTGGGGACCGGTCCCCAGTAACTTGTGGGTTACTGGGGACCGTCCCCAGTAAAACCAACGACCTCCTCAGTTTGCTTAAATAGCCAAATATTGTCTCTAAATCGACGTGAAGAGTTATATGTAGTCAACGGAAGACAAAACTATGGATGTTTTGTTTAGCCCCCGCCCGGGTGGGCCTCTCAGCCAACTTTGCCATGGTGGGGGGCCTTTTTGGCCACACCAGATTATCAGAAAGTAAGCAAGTTAGAAAGACGCAGTAAAGAGCAACATATAGCTCGCTACAGGATCTTTCAGAATAATCTAGGACATTTCTGATCAGGTCATCGCTGAGGTCATTGGAGGTCACCAAAGGTAAGTTGTTTTACGAACTTCTGTTCCCGATTTTGGCAACTTTTCACACATCGGCGCATAAGCCGGGAACCAATAGAGCTGCAGTGCTGCGGAAATCGCATTCGATAGCTCTTTCAAAGGTCTTTCTGAGTAATGTTCTCAGATTTGACCTAAGGTCAACGGTTTAGCCTCCAGAGGCAAAAACTATCAAAAGTTGGCGTTTTTGCGGAAGCGGTTTTTGTATAACTTTTGACTCCAAGCTTGTATGACGCTGATTTAACCGGCATCGCGTTTGTCTCCTCGAGACGCGTCGAATTAATTATTAGTTGACCTGAAAAGGTCAGCTTGAAAATTTGACCTCACGGCTCACGTCAAGATTACGGAAAAGGTCATGTTGCGTGTCATTCGATTTTTATTGCTGAGCTGAACACATTCATGGTGTTTTCAGCGCTCTACCATGTTTCTACCTAAAGTTATGGTAAAAACTGTTGGAGATATTTCATGACCTGAGATGACCTCAGGGACATAGGTAGAAGGAGTCACAGGTGCAATTTTCCGGTTCATTGTGTCATGTTTACCTGTCTCACGGTGTTTCAATGTGTTTTCGGCCAAAAAAGGAGCATTTCATTTTCCCCCATTGACTTATAATGGAGAGGTCACAAAATTGACCTGACATTAGGTCACCGATGTGACTTTGAGATATACGAATTGTTCATACTGATTTCCTCATGCAAAAGCCCGCGTCTCAAACTTCTGGTATGTAAACTGTAGGAATGACAGAGTCACAAAGTTTTTAGAGGCATGGTTACTTTACTTGACCTGATGACCTGACCTTATGTGACCTGGGGTCAAAAATTTCACACACGATGCGAAATTTAAGTATCATAAGCTATACCAAGTTTCGCGGTGGTGCGCGCCGCGGTTTTCCTTACACGCGCAAAAAAAAACTGGGTGTAGTCAACCCCCATTGGGCGAAGACTGATCCTGAAATATAATATTTGGTCTTCGCGGTCCTCCATGTGGTCCCCAGTAACTTCAGACTCGTGGTTACGCGCCTGGACAGCCAACATTTGCTCATGCCTGACGTTATGTTTTTTTTTTTGTGCACTAGTTCCGATTCTAACTAAGACCGGGTCTGGATGGTTCTAGATATGTCCAGTCGCGTCTAGTTATAGTCTGGTTCCAAAAAAAATCACCTCTGCTCTACTACAGTGCCACCTCCTCCCGACCTGGGCCGAGCATGGGAGGGCTCTGGGCTTCCAATCCCCATCAAGCCTATGTCACTCCGCCTTTTTGCCAATGTTGCGAGGCGGCTGTAATTGAAATTGTCTCCCTCAGGACAAAAATTTTGCAATCAAAGATGGGCCTTTGCAACAACTTTTAGTGTTTGATATGGCCATAGGCGTCGCTGCAGAAATTTTGGGTTGGCGGAGGGGGCAAATTCATTTTTGGTAGGTATTAAATGGTGCCTTGTTACAGTCGTTACATAGGCGGCGGAACAGGGAGGGCACCGGGGCACCGTGACCTCCGTTGAATTTGCAAAGGATGGAACCAATACTCCAGTAGCTAAGTGCCCCCTAGCCCCTAAATTTCATACCAAAAAAGTTTTGTGCTGAAACTGAATGTCCAACTCATTTTTGGTTTGTAGTAATCGCCTGGTTAACAAAAAAGTACGATAGCGATTAAGTATGATTGAATGTATTCATGCATCACTTTAAGTGACCTGATGACCATTGACCTACATCTACATATTATCCGTGTCTTTCCAAAGCATATTCGCAAAGGGTGCTTGTCAACCTACCTATAGGTATACAAGACGTGCAAAGGACAGCGGATCAAAGCGAAAACCTGAAAACGGTATAAAGACAGCGGCAAAGTTCCTCCACGGCTCGGGAGTCGGGCGAAATTTTATAGACCTTGTCTGGAGAAGGGGAGAGTGGGGTAAGACTCACTAAGATGCCTAGGGTGGGACAGACCCACCCCTTCAAAAGGCGAAACGGAAGAATAAAACCTGGAATTAACCTATGATTGTGAAATATATAATGGCGAAATTTTTACTTTAATGCGTATAACTTGGCCATTTTTGAAGATATTGTTCTAACTGCACAACAATTTGCCAAGCTCAGTTGGGCAGCGGTGGTCTGGTGGCTGCATGTTTTATATTCGCTGATTTAAAAAGAAATATTTTGGTGTCAAAACATTGTAAATATCAAAGAAGGTAAATAATTGTTATGCCCGTTGCTATTGTCGTGATGCATTCACACTGTGTCGCAATCAGTTTGTTTCAGGGTTTGGTATAAGTATTAAGTACTAACAAATTGTACTGATTTATTATTAGTTCGGTACCTTGGGGGAAGATGCCCCTTGACCTGATGGGGAGAGACGCCCCCTAAATCCGTAGGCTGCCCTTCAAGAAACCTGTCGAATCATTTAGTACATGCTTGTGATGAGAGACAAAAGGCGATTTGGGACTATTGAGAGGGCAATACGTTCAGGTCAGGTGCTCCCCATGTCGGTCTCTCGGCCCACACAGCGACTTGTTGGGCGGCATCTGACTGAGAGCCCTCACGACGGCCTCTGAGGGCCCCATTAATGGCTCCGATGCCCCTCACAGCATCCTTTGAGGGCTCCCACGCTGGCTCCACGGGCCTCGCTGACATCCATGATGTCTCCACGATGGTCTTGAGGGCCCTCAATCCTCATGAAACCTATAAGGGCCCCACAAGCGGTCTCCGAACGCCACCACGGAGACTTGTTTGGCCGCGCTGGACTATGGTGACTCTCATGATGACCTCTGAAGCCCCTCACGACGACTTTTGAGGGCCCTTACGATGGCGTTGAAGTGTCTACCACAGGCTCAAAGGGAACTGATTCGTTCAGGCAATTCACATCTCCATTTATGTATATGTCACTTAGTGAAGAGGGCATCTTCCCCAACGCCAGGGGGCGTCCTTCCCACCGCCAGGGATAAGATGACCCCTTGCTCTACAGTCTACAGTCTACTTAAGGAAAATGATTAATAGTAAAAAAAGTTGTCATAGATCAGGAACGAAAGTGTGATGTTTTGCGGAGAAAAATGATGTCGGCTTCCGTTGAAACTCCAAGTTTTTGCTTTCCGGTCGTCTATTCGAATAATCCATGACATTGCAAGCCCTTGGGCATCTTTATCCACTCTCCCCCATATCTATAGTGTGAGCCGTGAGGCACTCGTACTGGGACAGCTCTGTTTTGAAAGTCTCTTTTGCTTATGAAGTTACTAATACTAACTATCTAGAACTACAAGAATACATCGCCCGCTGTTCATTTCTGCACTGGGGACCCCGTCGGCCGTCGACCCGTAGACACCGCATACACTATGCAGATCATCCCAGTTGCAGAAAGCGCAATTTTTGCATCTTACCCATCATAAGGTACCTTTGAGAACATTTCTGGAAAGCCGCAGTAATGCGGTTGTAAATACGATGCTGTGTTTATACAGCCGTCCTGTTCCCAGTGCCGTCAAGGCCTCGGCTTTGTTGTCGTTACCACGTTACGTAACTGCACGCGACATCATCTGCTGACGAGGTCCACGCTGCGCTGTCGGGGGTCGGGGGGGGGGGGGGCAGAGGTCACCTCTAGGGTATATCAGCCCGGCGCGGGACGTAGCGTCTAGTCACTCACTCTGCACACCACGGGGGCAGAACTCGGACAAGATGAGGTTTCAGGTCGTACTGCTGGGG